GCGGTCTTAAATCAACGATAAAGGACCGCAAAATTGAAAACAGAGTAGCTTTATCTTCTAATTAACACTCGACTAGGAAATATCACCTTGCAACTGGACCTTTCGACACTGGTTCAATGCATGTGTTACGTAACATTATTCTTTTTACCATAAACATTTATATAGTTGTACCAAGATAAAGGACCGCAAAATTGAAAACAGAGTAGCTTTATCTTCTAATTCTAGCACGACTGATAAGCGTTTTAAAACCGAACTGTTTGGCGCGCAAGAACACAAGGCGCAAAGGGGCCTTTTTCCAGGAAATCGCTTGGAATCGTCCGGTTGAGGGACAGGTTGTGTAATGAACAAAATAAGACATTTTCAACAACATAAATGCTATATTTCAGGAAACAATATGCTTGTATTTGTAACAAGTAGCATACGTAAATAAAAAAAATGTACAATTTATACTGTGAGCAAGTACAATTATTTGATTTTTCTCAAGCGAATTATTGATCTCACCTCCTGTATGACAATCGACTCGCCCAAATGCAAGCCGTGAACTCGCTAAGTTTAGTCGCCGCTAACTTTATTCACGGAAATAATTGTTGATAACCACCCTACTATTCCCAATTTGGAAAAGACCTGACATGCCACGTTTTATGTGGGATACATGGACAGTGGAAGTGGAAGTCTGGGCATTGCGGCCGGGACGGAAGCGGTCAGGTAAGGATGTGTGGGCCGACGTGTGTTGTCGACGTCAACACACGTAGATCTGGACCCGCTTTGAATATACTGCCGTTTTTGCGCTGCTGACGGATTTTCCAGTTTCGTAGTTTCTTCACTGGGATTAGGGTAAAAAAATTCTTCTTCAAACCATTCGCTTTTTACTTCAAAAACGCCAAAGATGCTGCCGAGATAGAAATTGCCGATGTCCGACATGTTTGTTTACAAACAATAGGGTCAACGAGTTCGTTGTATTCATACGCGGTGAATCGGTCACTTTAATTAGCGGTCCTTAAACTGTCATTTAAGTACGGTTTTGATGAGCTCTCAGCCAATCAGAATCGAGTAGCACACATTGTCGTGCTAGAATGTATATTAATACTTTCTGAATATTCATAATACTAACACATGTTAAATGTTTCTACATACACGATGACATTGTTAACTGGTTGCATGTTGTGAACGCCCTTATCTGGTATTTCGGATACGCCTCTCCGCGCCTCTATTCAAAGGGTACAATTTACCCTGCACAGCTGCACAAAAGTGGAACCTAATTTATTGCTGGCGTGCCTTGTAAACACACACAACGACGTCTCTTTCAAATGGCTTTTAAAGATATTTATTATGAGTAGAAATCCTGCACGTCCTAGGAAATTATTTGAACGTGTTTGCTTGGTGTGAGGTTCTTGCCACCTCAAAACTAAGTGTATCTGCAGTGACATGTTGTAAACTTGAACTGTAGCTCGAAACATCGTTGAAAACGCTGTAATGTTATTTCCTAACGGACATAGATATTGTATATATGACAATACTGACATCCTGCTTTTTTCGAACTATGGATAAATAGTAAATTACTAATCCCCAGGGTACCGAAATAGAATTTTGTTATCCACAAACCTAATGTTTTGTTTAGTTGACATTTTTGTTCAAAAACTGCTTGAATGGAGTTATAATGTTGAGTTAAAATATGGCGGCAACAAAACGTTCGCCATTATGACGTCACTAACGTTGAATAACCTAGTTTGGTTACACATCACTTGTTGGATAACTTTCAACGGGTTACACAACACGTGTTTCAAACAACCAAAATTATCTCATGAAGATATTCAGAACACGTGTGTAATAAGTAGATATATTTTCTTGGTTACCACGCCATGATGTAGGTCTTGCGAGGAGAGTTTCATGTCGCGGTCAAGATTAATGCGTTATGATTGTACGTGTGTGTGCATGCATGCGCGTGTGCGCTTGCGTGCTTTGTGCGGGCGCGAGGCTGTCTGTGCATGTCCGTCCCAAGATGACGGTTTTATAGGACTATCAAACTACGATATGCCGCGGTTTTACATTGATACACCACTCTGACACACTACTGACTTCGAGCAGGTAATTATTTTATCCCCGTTATGCCGAACACCAGGCGGAGTAACAACAAGTACCACCTTTAAATGCCTTTTGGTACGACACGACCGGGGATCGAACTACCGACCTTTTACTTTATGGGCAGAGGCTCTATCTACTATACCACGGCTGGGGGATAAATACAGTATACACCACGGCGGGTGGCTATAAAGAACGCGATATAACGGACTAGGGGTCGTAATTGAAATACCGTCAGAGCGGCGATAAACCTGGCCTGGTCGATGCCTCACTAAATCACCCATCCACGGCCCCACTTCGCGCATGGTCTAACTTCGAGTGTACAGTTTCACTACATAGACATATGAAGTTTACAACATAAGTTTTTAAAACATATTGATATACATCGTGTAACAGAGCCACTTAGTCACAGCGCAAACACAACTCGGGGTTCGGCCAGCACATGACTTGCACAATACTCAATACGGATATGTGTTTTAATGACTCACTACCTTGCCGTGTCGAGAGAGGGGGGTATTGCACACCGTGGAAGGTCTCACACTCTGGCGACACGGGACAACACAGTGACACGGTATTGTTGGGCTTTGCTTGTCACATATCTTGATAAAGTGCGAATAATGTACAGCTTTTTGCTTGTGAATATCCGAATATGAACTTACCCTACATTGCACAACCTATTCTCATGTGTTTCACCATAAAAGAGGTGTGAGAAAGGAAGGCGAGATATGTCGATGGGTTTGTGAGAGGTCGGAGCTGTGTTTTGAAATCAAGGTGGACTGTGTAGGCTTGGCTTAGGCTCTCAATGTAGTCAGGTTCCTTAGCGCCAGCGCAGCATACCTAGGGAACCAGGCTGGTTCTCACTCTCAGTAGGGTTTCGTTAACACAGATGATGATCAGCTCAAAGTAACAGAAGAATACCTGGATGTTGTAGCAGGGATAATCTACAACAACGTTATAAAGTCTCCCTGGTTGTAGCAACCTTACGGCCTGTATACAGTATAGGAATTAGGGCTGTAACGATGCTTTGAACTATCGAGGGATTGCATTTGTTGAGTCTCCGATAGCAATTAATCGATGGTAGAAACGGTAGACTATCGATAGTTTAGTAATTGACTTCCGTTGATATATGACCAGCTCAAAATACAGGAAGTACCAGATTCGTTCACTTTGATTTAGAGTTATACGCCCCTGTTACCTATTTAACACACTTGATTTGGGTTTCAAGTTTCTTGTCAGTTATTAAAAGAGACTGAAACTACTTCAGCTTGGTTATTTATTTGAATTCATATAACTATATATTTAAATGAGACAATTCAAGGAGAAAAAACTATTGCAATAGTATTTCAATAGTTGGTCGCAATAGACTATCGCTATCACAATAGTATGTTGCAATAGACTATCGCCATCGCAATAGTATGTTGCAATAGACTATAGCTATCGCAATAGTTGTTTGCCCCTCAATAGTCACCCCTATTATTAGGAATGTCAAAATGGGAGTGAGTGAGTGAATATTGCTTTACGCCGCTTTTAGCGATATTCCAGCAATATCACGGCGGGGGACACCAGAAATCGGCTTCACACATTGTACCCATGTGGGGGATCGAACCCGGGTCTTCGGCGTGACGAGCGAACGCTTTAACCACTAGGCTACCCACTGCCCTATGTTTAAATGGAGTGAGTGAGTATGTTGGGTTTTACGCAGCTTTTAGCAGTATTGGACAGCAATATCACGGTAGAGGACACCAGAAATGGGTTTCACACATTGTACTAATTTGGGGAATCCAACCTGGGTCTTTGGCATGACGGGCGGACGCTTTAACCACTAGGCTACCCCACTGCCCCATGTCTAAATGGACCGTTCGCACTATTGGAATTAAGAATTGACTTCAGAATTGTTTGCGTTAATGAACACACTGCGCAGCGTGCGTAGAGGGCACACGTTGTGTTTTCCCCCGTTTAGAACTCCACGAACACATATTCAAAACAAATACGCCAATAATTATAATCATAATAATAATAATATGATGATGATTAAATCATTTAATCCTAATGATATCGCCCAGTACAATAATCAGCCATAATCCCATACCTTTCTGTTATTTACCAATCAGGAAACAAATGTTCTTTAGTGTGGTCTAATCGTTTTCGGTTTATGTAATCAAAAAGAAATCAAAATAGCTTAGTTAGCCAAGAGAGACACACGGATTCGCTAGCGATTTACTTGTAAGGAAATAAAAGATTAAACCCACCCGTTTATTCATAAACACGACCACGGTATATTTTACCTGGTCGTACCTTCTTTGTTCCTCCAGTCTAAGTAAACTGAGGGTCAGTGTCATTCGTTACTAGGGTTGGGTATTGCCATAATTTTCGTATTGCGAGATATTCTGATATGTGTTGGCGTATTGCAATATATATTGCAATATATTGTGAAAGTGTAACACATGGTTTAAGGTAATGAAATTACTGTTTCCTTTCTTTCGCAACAATGCCACTGGCCACGGCCAGGACTGTCAGGATTTATATGGTTTATAAGTCACGCAAATGCAATTATATGACCTATAAACATTCTCAAAACTATTAATGTATCATAATATAAAGGATATAGAAATTGTATTAGTATTTTTGACTACATCACGAAAATTACCCATCACGGTCACGGAAATTGCCGATCGTATCGGGTGAACCGGTTCGCGAAAAGTATACCGCAATATATCGTATTGTGAAGTTCGAATTGCAACATACCGGTTAACCGGTATTATCGCCCACCCCTATTCGTTACACTAATATAACAGTGTAACGGATAATACTGAGCCTAAAATTGTAGCCAGACTGTTCCTCGGAGATCTATACTTTAATTTATGTAACAGCTCTTGTTTGAACTAGTAGGGATATCATTAAAGTAAACTGTTTTGTTTCAGAGTGAAAACTAAAAATGGCGATGCCCACCCTGAAGTGCGTTGTGATCGGCGACGGAGCCGTGGGGAAGACCTGCATGCTGTATTCCTATACGACAAATACCTTCCCCCAGGAATACGTGCCCACGGTGAGTGGGGTGGGTGTGTTGGTGTGGGGAAGCCTTAATATGATGTCCTAAAATATATAAGTCAGGATAACTTGCTCATGGTGGTGGTGGTGGTGGTGGTGGTGGTGTGGGGTCTTGGGGTGGTTACTGGTTGGGTCTGTTAGGGTGGGAAGCCTTAATATGATGTGTGTGATTTGTGTGTGGGGGTGGGTGGGTGGGTGGGGGTGGTTTAGTCTGTTAGGGTGGGAAGCGTGTATATGATGTCCTAAAATATTTGCCTCAGGAGAACTTACTCATGGTGGCTGGGGTGTAGGTAGTGGGTTAATCTGTTAGGGTGGGGAAGATTTTTTACGATGTCCTATTAGTATATCCCTAACGATGACTCGCTCATTGTGGGTAGGGTTATTGGGCGGGTCTGATAGGGTGGGAAGTGTTTATATGATGCCCTATAAATATATCCCCCGATGATACGTGTCCGAGGTGAGAGAGGATGGGGATGGGTCTGACTGAGTGGGAAACACCTGTATGCCGCATTTCTATATATAAGCGAGGCTTACTTATTCACATGGAATAAATACACAGACTTGATAATGAAATGTATTGATAATTGTGTATCTACGTCATCGTAAAATTTAAAGTTCAAGATTGAGTGGGAAACACCTGTATGCCGCATTTCTATATATAAGCGAGGCTTACTTATTCACATGGAATAAATACACAGACTTGATAATTAAATGTATTGATAATTGTGTATCTGCGTCATCGTAAAATTTAAAGTTCAAGTTTGTCATTGTCTTCGCACAACGTTCCATTTAGCATTGCACTTTGTCTTTATCCATGTTCATGGGGATAGGCGGCGGTAGGGTAGCCTCGTGGTTCAAGCGTTCGTCGTCACGCCATTGACACCTGTTCGATTTCCCACGTGGGTACTATGTGTGAAGCCCATTCCTAGTGTTCCTGAGTGAGTGAGTATAGTTTTACGCCGCACTCAGCAATATTTTAGCTATATGGCGGCGGTCTGTAAAAAATCGAGTCTGGACCAGACAATCCAGTGATCAACAGCATGAGCATCGATCTGCGCAATTGGGAACCGATGACATGTGTCAACCAAGTAAGCGAGCCTGACCACCCGATCCCGTTAGTCGCCTCTTACGACAATCATGGGTTACTGAAGATTAATATTCTAACCCGGACCTTCACGGGTCCCTAGTGTTCTGTCTTGATATTGCTGAAATATTGCTGAAATATTGCTGAAAACGGATTAAAACCATACTCACTCATGGAAATCCGTGGTTAGAATAGGTTCCCAACAACCTAAGCTTGTAGGAGGACATAGATGGATTACGTGGAAAGGTTGCCCACAGTAATAATCACTGGATTGTCTGTCCCAGATTCGACTATTCACAGTCCAGTATCCGACACCTTGAATCTTGAGTTTGACGTTAAAAACAAAAAACAAACAAATGCATCGTTGTTGTTGGTTAATGTTACAATTATGAACAATGCAACACGTATACAGGTTTAATGTTTACCTGTGTTTGCTGTTCCAGGTGTTTGACAACTACGCCGTGACAGTGATTATCGGGGGCGAGCCCTACACGCTGGGTCTGTTCGACACAGCGGGACAGGAGGATTACGACCGACTCCGCCCACTCAGTTACACGAACACAGATGTGTTTCTACTCTGCTTCTCAGTTGTCTCCCCTTCGTCATACGCAAACATCAAAGAAAAGGTGAGCTGCCACTATTGGCTGTCGTCCCGGGCAAAGACATTGCGGGAGATATTCTTCACCGGGCTGTCTCCAAACAAAAACACGATTGTTTGCCGCAATGATAATTTTACACTCGTCAGAGAAGATTACTCGATTCCAATAATTATTCACTGTACGATATCGTTGCCCGCTTTCACAGGCAAAACGATTTCTGAAATTATATACCGAATTCGGATTTTCTTTCTAACAACACGTCTATGAAAGTTATTTTAATACAATCGTCTCCTTACAGTCCTCGCCGATACACGTGTAGCCCTATTGTTGTTCAAATTCTCAGTTATATCACCCAAAGGTGAAATCCTATTGTCTCTGACCAACCTCAAAAGTTGTCGATTGTCCCGAGGAGTCAGTTTTCTCATACGGCCTGTTCTGGGAACATTCTCGACTGATCCACGTCGATTAAACCGCTTTACCACCGAATATCACAGGCCCTCGTGTCTTTGCGAGGATTAAAGATGTTAAAAACACATAAAACATTTGAGATGACCCCCGACTCGAAATTCTCCACAGTACAATACATTATGACGTCATAATGTATTGTACTGTGGAGAATTTCGAGTCGGGGGGTCATCTCAAATTTTTAATATTTTGTAATCTTTTTATCTTCGCAAAGACACGAGGGCCTGTGCCGAATATACGCTGCTTCGAGGCATTCCAAAGAACCTTGCAATGTTAGAACATTTTTCGCCACTTTGAAACTTTTTTTACAATTAATTTCTAAAGTGGCTCCGACAAATCAGCCGATTTCCCCATTGTTGCCGGAAATAGCCAGAATTTGTAGCAGACGACAAATAGATTAAAAATAGAGTCACGTGACAGACACGTGACATCATGGTCGATCATGTGACAAAATATTACGACGAAACGCGTTGTCGTTTTTGAGTAGCAGTATTTTGAAAACGAACATCGCTAAACTCGATATCAACGCCGCTACAACTGTACGTAATAACATGGCCACGCGCTGTACATCAAAAGACGATATTAATGTAGCTTTTGCTCTTAACATCACATTTAATTTACTGCTTCAGATGTGATTATGATATTTACTTTTCGTCTTCATGTTTCAGTGGATCCCCGATATAATGCACCATTCTAGGAACACACCGTTTCTTATCGTTGGGACAAAGGTAGATCTCCGAGATGACCTGGAGACCATTAACAAACTTGCTAAGAGGAAGGAACGGCCCATCACCGCGGAACAAGGGAAACAACTCGCAAAGAACGTGAAGGCTGCCCAATACGTCGAGTGCTCTGCCCTTACACAGGTGAAGTATCGCTATGAATTTATTTATAACGTGGTTTGGGCAACGAAATAGTTGCTTGTCTTCATTAAATTTGGTATGCATGATAAGCATATTCATGGTGACGCAACAAGTTGTAAAGTAATGCATTTCATTTAAACTGGTTTCACTGGTGATATGCACAGGTAGCTGTGCTCTTGATGAAGTTATCACTTGTTTGCTGTTTAACGCCGCACTCGACAGTTTCCCAGTTAATACTATTTAACTGGGAAACTGTCGAGTGCGGCGTTAAAATAGTCGAGTCTGGACCAGACAATCCAGTGACTGACATCATGTCGATCGATCCACTCAATTGGAATGCGGTGACATGCATCAGCCAAGTCCGCGAGCATGGCCACCCGATCACGTTAGTCGCCCCTTCCGACACGCATGTTTGGCTGAAGATTTTTTAAACCCTGTTCTTCACGTGTTCCACCAATAAATAAATAGGCTTCGCCTAAAGGCGCACCTCAACACACTGCATTCCGACGCCAAAGACGATTGGTACTCCCCGTTTGACGGTATATGGGAATGCATATGAAACGAATCGGTCCGCTGCAAAATCGTATTTGTTGTGTTAGAAAAGTATAATTTGTAATAATTATTTTCTTTTAAAATCCACACTGTTCTTCTTTCTGTATAGTGTAAAACTTATATTTACTGGGTTTTTTTATGTTTGTAGCGTGGACTGAAGAATGTTTTTTGACGAGGCCATCCTGACAGCCTTGGACCCACCTAAACTCAAACCTTCCGGCAGAAAATGTGTCATTCTGTGAATATTCTACACATGGATAGGTTTTGCTGTACGGAGTTCTCATGGATGAATGGTAGACGCTGAGAAACACTCGGATCTCATAGCACATGGATCAGTACTCATGACCTTTGTGGACAGCAACAGTTGAACGGTGAAACTTATCGTCATACTGTTATCTTCTTGTTATATATCAAGTTCAACAACACAAGCTGTACAAGAGCATCACGAACTTCAATTGTCACAGTTGCATATTATGTACAATAACGTGCCATAAGTAAACGGACAGTTGTGTGACGTCACAAACCCGGAAGTGACATATTTATTTGCTCACCAAAGACATAATATACAACTGAGCTTCCTGATATTTGGTAATGTAGCCATTTGACGTATAAACCTTCAAAATCCTGCGAGGAATGCTTCTGAATAAGTTTATGATGTAGTCAACAGTCAAAGATCCCGTATGTCACGTACGTCGCCTTGCAGATCTGTACATAGATGGTGTTGTGACCTAAGAATGAACTTGAAACAAACTCAGCAGGCAAGTCTTTCTCCCTTAGCAGTGCAATTATGTGTTAAATTTGCCATACTGCTTCTGTGTCTGCTGAAATGAAATCATTAGTAGACATTTCTCTCTGTGGGACATATGGTGGTCCATGCTATTTATCGGCATGGTTGGTCTATTTCCGAACCGATGTAACTGAACCTGCTGCATGCTACGTAAACAAAGAGAAGTCATCGTGGTTTAATAGGAAATACTGATCTCAATATCCGACATACTGTTAACAAGGAGATAAAACAGGAATATGACCTCATCTTTGGCCTTGTCGCCCATTATGCTATATCACCATGTAGCACTACCTCCGCCATTAACAACAGCAGCAGCACAACAGCCACCACCGCACCACCGCCACACCTACCACCAACAACACAAGAAGGATCGGACAACACACTGCTGTTTACCTCCAGAGACTCTTTTTGCTAATTCTCTATTGTGATGGGATTTTTCTCGTGCAAACCGAAACATGAGTCTCATTAACCTGTTCAGACAATGACCTACTTTTCAGCCGATCCGAATTTTCTCGTGTGAAAGTGAAAATAGACATCACAAACAACTATGGTTACACTGAATTTCAATTCCTTGTTTCATAAGAAAATGGTATTTACAAATTAATTTCAATTCTAAATTTTAATAACATCGTATTTCTATATTTTATGGCGAGGTGTAGGCAGCATGACATTAACTAAGACGTCACAGACTGCCCCAGTTTGAGGAGGTCGTAAAATGATTAACAATGCATCTGGCTCCTTCACAGAACACCTGTTCTGTGTTTTTTGCGCTTATTCAATGTAGCTCTGTAACGCACAATGTGACTGATATAATATCAAGTCCGTACCAGACCGCCAAACTTTTCTAGCGGCAGAGCCTCGTTTTGAGCTCGCTATACGACAGAGCACGCTGCACGACATGTTTGCAAGGATTATAAGGAGCGTAGTGTTGCAATATACAAGTGCTTAGATGTCAAATAATACTGATGAATATTTATGTATCCAGTTAAATGAATTTGTCTCAGAATTCAGGACTGTTATTGTACTAAGTTGCGCAATAGGACGGAACCCAGTCAACAGGAAACGAGACTGTTGTGGAATCAATGTTTTGACTTGTAACAAAGTGTTAACTGAACAATCTGAAAATCTTCATAACGTCCGTGATTGTTAATCGTTTTCCTTACAGAACAGGACCCAGGCGAATATAAAGCTAACAGAACGATGATCGTGTGCCGTGTTAAAAAGTGTGGGAGTAACGATCACCTTAGCGCTAAGATTTGTAAAAATGGTCCGTGTACAAGCAGAAAGGTTTATACGTACAGTGAAGGAATAATGTGTTACATGGCAGAGATCACTGGATTGTCTGGTCCAGACCTCGGCCATATAGCTGGAATATAACTGAGTGCGGCGTAAAATCAAACTCAGTCATTCACCTACATGACAGACAAAATGGTGATATTTTCTTGCGTATAATATTTTCATGGTGCTTCATTAGAGCCTCATTAGGGCGTCATCAGATCCACGTGGTTGTCTCATTGTCATATTGGATATTGCCTTTGTCATCGTTCATAATGTCTTGTTACACATGTAAGTTTCTTAATTGTTGTTTGAAAACAAACTGTATATGTATTACGCACGCACGCATGCACACACGCACACATTCACATATAACTTCACTATTTTTGTTTCATTCATGTGCATATGTTCAGATTTATGTGTATTAAAATCATGTGTTCACATGTCCACGCCATCACGATCACTTATACGGATTTGCTTAGTGAAGAGACACCTTCCTCAGAAAAATATAACATGAAAATCAAGTAGGATATTAAGAGGACATAATTAACATTTAAGTGTGTTGGTGAGAATTCGGGGGCGTTTTCTTTACAATCGTTCGTAATGCTATGTACAAATGAAGATATGTGTACACAACTCCACAAAACAAAATAATCAATTTGGTTTTGTCATTACTGTTTTTTGACATAGTGTATATATTATTTTAAATATACGACGGTCACATTGGCAACACTTAACGAATCATGTGCATGAGAATTTTGAAGAGATGTTCACATAAAGTTTCTAAATGAGATAGATACATTTATACAATGGATGTGTTGAGATGGACGTTGTAAATAGAATTATTTATCTTGCATATATGTAAACACTGAAATAAACGAAACTATTTTTTTCTCCCTTCGTCTGTGTCTTTTGTCATATATTCTGCTAACCACATTATCAACATTGAATTCTGGTGACTTTAATTCAACTCTCATTTGAACGTGTTTTGTTCAGGAGGATCGTTGGTCGACGGAGTTCATGACATGACGCTGCCCACAGAAGCCTTTCACGTAACGCTGGCACGATATGATGTTCTCAGACATGAACTAATGTTTTAAATTTTAAATGAATTAAAAGAAAGTTTGGGTAAGACTCTTTAAGATTCGTTCAAACCAGTAATTGTACACTTTAAAGTAAGATCAACCTTTCTAAGAGGTAAACATCTGTTTGATGAAATTTTCTGTATAAAGTTTAAGGGCTACTGTGTATATGACAATCTATATAGGAGGTGGAGACAGAAAGATTATTTAATTAAATCTCACCTCACATGTAAAAATACGGGATATACAAGCTAGCTATAGTACAGAATAAAGGTGAGCCACTCGTTCAGGGTTGTGAGAGACTATCGTAAACGTTAAGAACAAACATAAATATACACCATGTGCGTCTTCTGGTCAACCTTTACTTCTTTCGCACTGTACATCCAACAGCTGCTAGAATATAACACTTAAGAGTCGTCTCCCTTGGGTGTTCGCTCGTAACCAGGGCCCTTATTCTCGAAACGTTCGTAGCCCTACGCACATCTTAAGTCCATTCTTAACACATTGGCTACGATCAAAGTTAAGAATTCTTAAGGCTACAAACGTTTCGAGCATAAGGGCCCAGGATAGACAACCCTTGCTGTAGTACCTACGTCACGCCGACAATGGTACACTAGCACTACAGTACGCTTTAATTGACAAGTGTACATAACAAATATATATTTAACATAAGTATAGTGTTGAAAAGAGATTTAACATCACATCGGCAATATTTCAGCCATAACGTGTATCGCTGATAATGTGTTTTGGGACGTGAGAGCATAGTTTCCACAGCCTATATTCGATTATATATATATTTCAAGGGCAGTTTGATTACGTTTAAATATTGCTGACCCCTCGTAATGTTGTAGTTATGTTTAGTTCAACCACAAACCAAAAGGGTACAATGTATGAAACCCATTTCTGGTGTCCCCAGCCGTGATATTGCTGTAATATTGCTAAAAGCGGCGAAAACAAAACTTACTCACTCACTCAGTTTAATCTTCAACAAGGGTAGTCTTATGATTATAGGAGATTTTAACCATGGTCGTGGTAGATATATGTGTAATGTTAGACAGCATGTACGGAACTCTAATCACGGAAGTCTGGTAACTCGAAATGCAGAAGAAATGATTAAGTACTTGGATCTATAGCTAGTTGATCTCCAGAGATCAGATCATTTCTGAAGCAGCGTTTATATATTTTTTGAAAACATCGCCTCTTTTAGACACAATTTATAATACAAAACCCATTTAAACATTTGCGTTTGTACAAACAATTGAATAGTATGATAAATTTTGAAATTTTATAAATTGATGAATACGATTGTTAACTTATTGACAGCGGCTATACCCAGAAACGGGGTTGTAGTAATGTAAGATTATTGTCCCCCCTCAACCGAATCCCTTAAAGAATTACATAAGAGTGAGTGAGTGAGTTTGGTTTTACGCCGCTTTTGGCAATATTCCAGCAATATCAATGCGGGGGACACCAGGAATGGGACACCACACATAGTGCCCGTGTGGGGAATCGAACCCGGCTCTTCAGCGTGATGAGCGTACGCCTTCATCACTAGGCTACCAGCCACCCCAGTTACATAAGACTATCATACTATATCATAAGACTAGTAACGTTTTATGTCGTCCTGTTTTAATCGTTGAATATCTGTGTATATGAATTTTCAGCTTAGCTTGCAAACGATTCCAAGCATCTAGATGGATGGTGTGAACCCTGCAGCGGTACAGTACATTGAAGATACACACCGTATATCCCTGTCCTGATTTTAATCATAAATAATAATAATAGGCCATTTATATAGCGCCTTTCCACGTCACAGGGATATGCTCAAAGCGCTTCCTGAGCTCAAGTTAAAACTATATACAGTTGGCAGGTACGGATGATTGGAAGTCACTTGTAGCGGAGAAATAGATGAGTCTTTAGTCGTGTTTTGAATGTACTTAGGGAAGGAGATGATTTTACTCGATAGGGAGAGAGTTCCACAGAGAAGCTGATACATATGAAAAGGTCCTTGAGCCAAATGATTTGATTGTAATCATACAGATTGAACATGCACAAGCCTATGTCACCTCGATCTGGATACGGATTTAATCCTATTAGCATTCTGCTGCAGTCATTGTCGTCCAACTGCCAAGATAGCCACGACAGGTCAACACTGAGAAAGGCCACTCTCGTCATTTGTATTCGGATTTCTAAAGCGGCTCTGACAGTTGTTCTCAAATTCAATAGCCTCGTTATCGTTTCCTTGGCGCACTGTGCAGGGGGTATTCCCCAAAGGTAGGTCTTGTCTCGTGTCTGGCAATGTTATTAACTACAATGTAGTTTTTTGCCTATAAGAAATAAGCTGACGGGATCGTGGTAAACAGCGTGTTTTGACAGTGGACGCATGGTACAGTCATAACGTCCACAGTTAAGACGACATAGGACCATCACGTCTTCACGCAGTCAAGATGTCATTGGATCATCATGTCTTAAAGTGGTAAGTGGTTTATTCAGTCATTTGTACATACTCCGAAAACATGTAATAAATATTATTTTTTGTAACACATGGAAGAGTCTGACCTATGCATTCCAGGTTGGAGTGAGTGAGTGAGTTTTAGCAATATCGCAGCGGCGGACACCAGAAATGGGCTTCACACATAATGCCCATGTGGGGAATCAAACCCGGGCCTTCGGCGTGACGAGCGAACGCTTTAACCCCTAGGCTATCCCACCGCCCATTCCAGAAAACGTCATCACTTGGCCCTAATGGATAGGAGTGGACACGGTCACTCAAGTGTTGTTTCTTGCACCTTGTCATTGGACTGTGTTGACAGCGGCGTTAGAATCTAAATACATACACACTGTTCTCATGTTGGTTCAGTGACTAATTCTTGATAAAGTTAGTTCCTATAATATAAGGCTTCATGGCTGAGACATTGTCTGTGCAACGTTAAATTTTAACCGTCCCAAATGTGACTTTTGATTCGGAAGTTTTTGTTCAATAATGGTGTTATGCCTACAAATCCTGCAGACATCTGACAGAACCCACCAGATCTCTAGGCTTCCTCATTTATGGGGGCGGTGGGGTAGCCTAATGGTTAAAGCGTTGGTTCGTCACGCCGAAGACCCGGGTTCGAATCCCCACATGGGCACAATGTGTGAAGCCCATTTCTGGTGTCCCCCGCCGTGATGTTGCTGGAATATTGCTCAAAGCGGCATAAAACCAAACTAAGTCATTCAGTCAGTCTTCATTTATGAAGCTCATTATCGTATAACTTCACATCACCATTTTGCAATGCATGGAGACCCAATGATGACATCACGCCGCACTTGGCAATATTCCAGTTATATGGCGGGACTCTGTAAATAATCGAAGCTGGTCCAGACAATCCAGTGATTGACGTCATAAACATCGATCCAACGGGGGTATGATGACATGTGTCAACCATGTCAACGAGCCTGACCACCCGATCCCGTTAGTCGCCTCTTAATGCAAGCTTGGGTTCTTGGAGACCTTTAGATCTAGACAGACAAAAATATATCACCAGGAGTGTGTGACATTCTGAAATGATTACCCTTCGCGTTCGCACCGGCTGTTATCACTGATCCATTCATTCAATATTCATTGCTGTTTTGCATTTGACGACCAAAGGAATCTGTTTCAGCAGACGGTCGAGACTGACTATTCTCTGGCGTTTAGTAATACTATTTATTCATCCCTTGAATCAGAAAAGCTCCACCCTCTGGTCTCTATATCAAACAACTTACGAGGTACAATTGAGCATGCACTTTCTGCGAAGATTTCAAAGAGCGCCATACGACCTATGCTCAAAAGCTGCCATGTCGGATTCACAGCTTGTACAGATTTCACAACGTTTTATTGTAGGTGTGTGACCAATATTTCTACATTTGACGCATCATTGAAAAACATGTTCAATGAAATTCCATAGATTGACTTGTGCCGCATGTACCCGTGTTGTTCAGATATATACTTGACCTGTCGCTGCGTGTGTTTATGACGAGTGAAGAATATGCTCACCCTTTCGCGAACACCCGGTATCAACGCTGTTAGATGGTGGGGGCGGTGGGGTAGCCTAGTGGTTAAAGCGTTGGCTCGTCACGCCGAAGACCCGGGTTCGAATCCCCACATGGGCACAATGTGTGAAGCCCATTTCTGGTGTCCCCCGCCGTGATGTTGCTGGAATATTGCTAAAAGCGGCGTAAAACAAAACTCAGTCAGTCAGTCAGTTAGATTGTTATTCAAAAACACATGCTCATGATATGGTCCTTGTCCTTCGAAAGAGCCTTTTTTCGGCAGATAGTTCTCATGGTTGAGGGTGGTGGGATAGTCTAGTGCAGTTAAAGCGTTTGTTCGTCACACGGAAGACCCGGGTTCGATTCCCCACATGGGTACAATGTGTGAAGCCCATTTCTGGTGTCCCCCGCCGTGATATTGCTTGAATATTGCGAAAAGCGGCGTTTAATTTAAATCCACTGATTCACTGACCGTACGGTTAAGGAAAGACCTGATCGCTTCTATATATCATTGTGTATTTCAGATATATGGCCATTCCCAGCGTGTAATTAGCCATGTCCAGTTTTAAGTGTGTGGTTCTGGGAGACGCGGAGGTGGGGAAGACTACCATGCTGACTGCCTACTCTCTGGGGCAGGAGAGCAAGTTGAAGGTGATGCTGTTTTCCTCGAGTTAAGTGCCATTGAGTGTAGGCTATCTTCACGTGGAGGTATCGCAAGAAAATGTAACATTTTTTACTTCCGCCGTGACATTGCTGGAAAGTTGCTAAAATTGTCGTAAATTCCTACTCACTCACTCACTCATTTATTCACGGGCGGTGGGGTAGCCCAGTGGTTAAAGCGTTGGCTCGTCACGCCGAAAACCCGGGTTCGATTCCCCACATGGGTACAATGTGTGATGCCCATTTCTGGTGTCCCCCGCCGTGATATTGCTGGAATATTGCTAAAAGCGACGTAAAACCAAACTCACTCACTCACTCATTTACTTACACACTCACTCACTCAAGTGAGTTTTCATCCTGCAGTTCTACTTGCCGATTAATCACATATTATTTACCCACTTAACTCACCCCCAGGATTATTTAGCTATTCTTCAAGCTAATAATGACTCCACAAAATTGTTTTTTAAAATTGTCTTTTAAACAAGCTCATTAACTTTGACTTGTTTGAGTGGCATTTAAACGAGGAGGGTTCTATGGATATACAACTTCTTAATTCTTACGTCGCTCGTATTCTATTAAGAAGTTGTATATCCATAGAACTCTCCTCGTTGCTCATTAACTTTGCATGACATTCATCTCTGGAGGTACAGGGTTGGACAACATTTTGTTTTCGCTGTGATTCATAGTTCAGTATTTTCATGTTCAGACACGGAAGGCGCCAATGGCCGTAGTATCTCTCAACCTTATCACATACCTTTAAATGGCCTTATGAGACTTATATATCAGCTTCCGGTTTTCTCACCTCAAACAAAATGAGTTCTTTCGACCATGGCATTCTGTGATACAAAGGTCGGGAATGTTTAGCAGAAAAATGTCAGCTCACATTTTGTGCAGAATTTCTGCCGAATGTTTCACTATTCTATCGCAAAATGCACTGCAGTTTCCTACCATTAAAGTTACCATAAAAGTATGACAAGTATATATATGTAGATTTACTGAAACAAAACGTCGTTTCGTATTAACTGAATATTTCGCCAATAAATTAGATATCGCCGAAAATATCTTCTTGTCATAAGTAGGTGACGTACTGGTTCAACGAGATCATAGAGATTTATGAATACTGAATATACATGTATCATTAAAATTTATGATTATTGATTGTATACTGACTAGACTTCTTTGTCCCAGGTATCTGAAAACAACTTCCAAGTAACGGTTACTGTGAAAGACAAGCCATACACCTTGTCCCTTCTAGACACTACCGGGGACGTCGACTTCAAGACAAGGAAACGTCCCAACTACGCCGACGTTGACGCCTTTCTACTCCTTTTCTCGGTTGTGTCTCCTGCGTCCTTCGTGAATATCCGAGAAAAGGTGAGACTACGAATCAACAACCACGTGTGGTCTGGTCCCCATTGACATAAACTGGTCATAGTGGCAAAATGATGGCTTGTCATCGTACCCCGATGACATTGATCGTTGCAGATACTATCAGTCAACCCGTGAAGATCCGGGTTAGAATTGATCTTCAACAACCTATGCTTGTCATAATAGGCGACTAACGGGATCGGGTGCTCAGGCTCGCTGACTTGGTTGACACATGTCATCCGTTCCCATTTGCGCAGATCGATGCCCATGCTGTTGATCACTGGATTGTTTGGTTCAGACTGGATTATTTACAGACCGCCGTCATATAGCTTGAATATTGCTGAGTGCGGCGTACAACTAAACTCACTCACTCACTTACTTACTCTTGTCTAGATCACCAAATCACCGTTATGTACCTGCATCCACTTGCATAAAAGCGACCTTAGCGTTAAGACTACAACTATCTTAAGTCTGTGTTAGAGTATGGGAGTTACGATCATTGTAAAACTATAATCGCTTTGTGCGAGTGGGTCATGGCCCCATTTAAAAACACTATCTTAGCGCTGAGGTGATCGTAACTCTTATATTCTAACATAGGCTTGCGACAATCCTTACGCTAAGATCACTTTGTGCAGCGGGGTGCTTGAATACTGTTGAGTGGGGGGTTAAACAATATATAACAACACATAATTACCAGTGCTGGCTGTACCAATACAAATAGATACCCTGAACTTTTTCATGTCTCATCTATTCTGGTCCAGCTATTGACTGCCAAGGGCTCGATAGTTGTTTGGGGTTTCCATGGCAATGAAAGTTTACTGGTTCGTGTATTTTCATTGGCTTCCTGACAGATAGATAGATTTCCTCCAGTGAATGGCTTTACACCAGGTAACCAGTACAAATAGTAGACACTGAACGATCATTTTCAGGTCTCATCTTCTCTGGACAAGCTATTGACTGTCAAGGGCTGGATAGTTGTTTGTTTTTTAGAATAAGATTCCCATTGAAAGTTGACTGGTTCGTGTATTTTCAGTGGCTTCCTGATATACTCATTCATGCACGAAACACGCCATTCTTCATAGTAGGGACGAATATTGACCTCCGGGACAACACCGACACGCTTAACAAACTTACTGAACAGGGCGAGAAACCAGTCACAGAGACAGAAGGGAGACAACTCGCACAGCGCCTGAGAGCTAGCAAGTATTTAGAGTGCTCTTCCCTTACACTGGTAGGTATATAAATACGAGTTTGCTGGATCATTAGTGTAGTAGCCTTTTGATCATCTTATTAACTCGATCTGTGGGTTATGTTCATTTTTGGAACAACCAGCTTATCTAATCAGATCATGCTTGTATTTGACTGTTACAACGGTTAACTCGACCTCCATTTGATGACCCCTACTATTTCGAATACTCCAGATTCTGCTGGGTAACCATTATGCAAAATGACTTATAGTGCGTTTGGCTCAAAAGCGGACCGATGAATTGCAATCTAACTCGAAAACTAATAAACATATAATACTCAATGAAACGCTGATCATAATCAAAACATCAGACCAACTCTGTGATTTGTTTGCAGAATTTATGTCCTAAAATTAAAAAAGTTGTTAAACAAACTATCATTAAAATATTGACACAGTTCACTATTTGTTACGAGGGAGGAGTACAGAGAAAGGGACAGCCAGGTGTTAGAGAAGCACGTGCACAAGTACCGACAAAGTTATTGATTCATTAACCTGTGCTGTGCCGTCTCCATACTTTCTCGAACACCTGGCTGTCCCTTTCTCTGCACTCCTCCCTCGTAACAAATAGTGAACTGTGTAAGACGTAAAACATTAAATTTCTTATCAAATGAATATAAATAAACAATATGTGAATGTTGGCTTAAACAAAACATTCTTGTTGAATTTGCAGAAAGGCCTTGACAAGGTTTTTGAAGAGGTCATCCTCGCATTAAAATCTCCACCACCAGCAGCCAGCCGGAATTGTGTCGTTGTGTGAAGATAGGATATCATGAACTACACTTTAAGTATTATGAACGCAGTCCTTAACTACTGTGCTGATGTTTTTTGAAATATACGAAAACATTGGGGGAACGTTGATGATGGTGTCAAAATCGTGACCCATAAATTGCTATATATTGAAGTTAGAATAGTGACATGTGTCTGTGTCGTGCATTGGTCTCAGCTGAGATTGCACGTGTGTATGTAAAAGTGTTAGCGTTTTTATTGTCATTTAACAGGAGGTGCTGAAGACTTTCTTAAGAATCCAGTTAGATTAATATTCTTATCCGTTTGTATTTAAAGTGCTCATTTTTCTCAAACCGGAAATGATGTCATTACACCGGATTTTTAAGAATCCAGTTACATTAATATTCTTGATACGTTTGTATTTAAAGTGTACGTTTTTCTCAAACCGGAAGTGATGTTATTACACCGGATTTGAACAGGACCTGCGTATAAGGAGTCTCACTTCTTATATCACGTTTTTGGCAACTAACGTGATGACATTCTCGCAAAACTTCAATATATTTCCGGTGTTAGGGTGTTATTCAAACCACAACTGAAGTTTTCAACTGACAAATTATGATTTCATGATGATCGTCGATCGTGCTTCCTGTCACTTGTCTGTCGGACCATGAATATTTACAGGCCGCTTGAATATTGCCGTGTGGGTTGTTGAAGAAGAGCCACGATATATGCAGGTCGTGATTTGTGACTATGATATTTGAGCTGTAGTTAATCCAGCCAGGGGTTGGTGGGGTAGACCATTGGCTAAAGCGTTCGCTCGTCACGCTGAAAACCCGGGTTCGATTCCCCACATGGGTACAATGTGTGAGGCCCATTTCTGGTGTCCAGCGATATTGCTGGAATATTGCTAAAAGCGGCGTAAAACCATACTAGCTTACTAATCCAGCCAGAAGACTGGAGTGAGTGAGTAAGTTTGATTTTAAACCGCTTTTAGCAATATTCCAGCAATATCACGGCCGGGGACACCAGAAATGGGCTTCACACATTTTACCCATGTGGGGAATCGAACCCGGGTCTTCAGCGTGACGAGCGAACGCTTTACCCATTAGGTTACCCCACCGCCCCAGAAGACTAGACTTTTGAACTGTTACAAAGAGTAATATAGTGCTGCCCTGAACAGAGAAAACGAATATACATATCTGTCAAAGTAATAAATGTAGTTCATATAATGTCATGTAGTAGTTTTCCCCTGTATTTCAGTGAACACAAACGTCAAGTGCGCTAAAGCATTTGAAGCTTACGTTAAGGATTTTATATCTCAATGTTCTGCCTTTAACACCGTAACTGCATATGCTTGTCTCCAATATATCAAAGGTCATATGACGATTGTGTTGTGAATTAGTATCAAGAGTGATTGCGCGCCAACGATCCGCGGGTTCTGTTCGCTAAAGGGACACAACTCTGCTGATCACATTGTACTACCTGCTTCCACTGACACAGTCAGATAGACGTACAGATACACGTAGATCCGTCAAGTATTCGATATATCTTGTATAGATATATTAGTCCATGATAGCTCAGAGGTGGCTTTGTTGAGCGAAGCACAATGATGTGAGGTATGGCAACTTGACATGGCGCCACATACTGTCAGGTACTAAACACGCTACTTTAAACACTCGTATCAATGCAGACATGTTTCAATAGAAACTTGTGGATTGTCCTATTCATCTGTAACAGCCATAACCTGTGTTGCTATAGCATATAGAGCATATGGGATGGGCTGCGACTAGCTATTGAAGAGAAAATTCTATTGAATGAAATAATGGCACAGAATTGCACTTGTCAGATGTGTGAATCTGTTTAACAATGTAATGGCAGTTTCATTTGAACATATTCAATTCAACTGTAACGGGAACTGACAGCAAGAATATGCACCTAGTAGCCCGTGTTTCTCGTAAGCGCACCGAGACGAGGATCGGAAGGCATACGCCAACGTTACAGATTGTTACTACAGCTATCAACTGGTGGTTTCCCTGGTCCAGACTCAAACATATACTCATAACATCAGGAATCTGATGAAATAAAGGACTGTGGAGTATTACAGCATTCATTCTCCCATTTCTGAAAGTCTAGACGCTTACACGTTTGGAGCTTGCACACATGTACAAATATGTTGCGGAGATGACGTAGGGTGATTTGTACGTCATCTTAGTGTGACGTCACACGCAGCGCCCCAGACCTTGGACGATCCGCAACAGTGTCCATCTGTTGCACACAGAATCTATGGTTTGTCTGACGGCTACAGGACATGCTTCGAGCAACTACTTCAACGGATTTTCCAGTTCACGTTGCTCTGGGTGGCAAAATACTTGCTCTTTTTTTTATTAAACATGCAGACTCGACGCGTTTTCCTGTTCAGCAATACCTATGTGACTACATTCCAATGCATGTGCGATCTTTGGGGTGATCATGTGACCCGCTGAAGATGGCTGTTATGTTTAACGCTATTTTCACGCCTAATGTCCAAATGTTTCACGTGGATGGCTACGATCTTGTTCACCCTTCATGTCATTGTGTACGACACAAGAAAAAATAAAAATAATTACCCCGTCACATTTATTACCTATAATGTGGGTGTCAGGTTTCTAAATGTGTTAAGTATACTTTAGAAATATTCATTCAAGTCGGAAAAAATTAACTCAACATTTTAATTCAGTTTTCAGTGTAAACACGCTAACGCCCAGATCACACACACAGGGGAACTCGACGACTAACTTTGTTAAAGCGATGTAACCTTTCATGACGTTATGCAATGTTGGAGTTTCGGGTCTACCTGGTCGACGAGGTAAACATGGCTGGGTCAGATTCTCTCCGTTTGTGATTCTTGGTCTGCCAGCACAGTACCCCTGTTCATTGGTTTAATCAAACTTGTAATCGTCTACGACCTAGAGTTTTACTTCTACTTTTGTTTGTTTTTTACGCCATTAAACACCGCTGCCGGGCAATATTCAAGCTTATCGCGGCGGTTTGTAAATAATGCAGTACTTAATACTACTTATATCGCGGGAGGAATTGGGGGGGATACGTGCAGGTCACCAGCAACACGTGCATGTCGTAAATCGTGTGGTACTACATTGATTGTCATTAGGCTACCCTGCCGCCACTTACGACTAACTCTGCGAGTTACGTAGGGTACTAAAGTAGGTGCATTTATATAATATTTACGGAAATATTATTTGTATGACAAAATATTTCCCGAACTTCCGCCTTGGAACGCTATCCACTGTAATAATCAGGATGATAGACGTATAGATATTGTTATCAGCCCATTATATCGTTATCTCTACGTTGGGTTCGTGTCTTATCACATCAACAATAGACTTACAATGTCAAGTTGTCCACACTCGGCTGGTCGATAAGTGCTTTGATTGTTCTTACAAACGTGCGGCTTCTAGACACTGACCGTATCACGCCAGTAAAGTGAAAACCGGATATATCAAACAGTCGAAACATATTGAAACTCCATGTGATATCTTGATTTTTTGCGAGCGAAGGAATCACGTATGTTATAATCGTACACAGGCGGTTCGTGGGTGCTTGGGGCGAAGGTGGGTGTATGTGTGTGCAGGGATGTGCACAAACCCCCACCCCCACCCACACCCACTCCCCACCCACCCTATCCCCATTTGTCCTGATAATTAATGAAATGACCATTGAAACTCTCGTGAAACGGGTGAAAATGAACTGTGTACCCTCACCACCCCCACCCCTTTCTCAAAAAGCTGTATCCGCTCCTGTCGTATATGGCGAATGTACAAAGATGACGAACCTTATTCAGAAAGTATTATCGTACGTCGATGAAGTCGAATTTGTAGGGCTTTCTGTTCTCTCCGTACTTACACTCGACAACAATCAATTTGAAGAACTGTTTCCTTCAGGTGACTGTATAACCACACAGCGCTGTAAAAAGTCAATTTTGTCGGAGCTGACTACAGAACAGACTAACGCTAAGTGTGGAACACGCCCACACATTATGATGGAAACAAATAAAGTCCAGAGCCCCATTAAGATGAAACAATCAACCAAAGGACTTCATTCATTTCGTGTTCGTGCGTGCGTGCGTGCGTGCGTGCGTGCGTGCGTGTGTGTGTCTGTATGTGTGTAACCACATACCAAACCGCTTTACTCTGACTAGAGATAACAAACTAAATAGGACCTTTGGAAAAGATAGAACGAAAACGATAAGGCGAATGTCCCACCTGAGACTTCCCTTCAATTGTGAGTGAGTATTATTTTACGCCGCAACATTCCAGCAATATCATGGCGGGGTACACCAGAAATGGGTTTCACACATTGTACCCATGTGGGGAATCGAACCCGGGTCTTCAGCGTGACGAGCGAACGCTTTATAATTAACCACTAGTTCGATAGATCGGGTGGTAATCTCAGTGATAGCGTGTCAACGTATCCCAGCAGAGGTCTTTGCTCAGAAGATCAATCAATATTTACAAGCCGGCGTCCTATTGCTGGGACGGTGTCAAGTACGGCGTTAAACAAACCACATATCTGGCATGGCTGGGTTGATAGTCATTCATAAACAAAAGGTCATGGTATAGATGGAATCGTACAGTGGACTCTGAATTTAACAGCGGTTTCTTATTGTTATAGAAAAAAAAGGTTGATTTTACTTATCATATTGTCCGAATATGCAACAAAAGGATATGATAGCATGTGAGGTGAGGTGAAATTGGGTTCAACGTCGTTCTTGAGAATATTTCGCTCATATGACGACGCGCATGCGTGTGTATGCGTATGTGCGGCTGCTTGTACTAGCCCAGACTGAAGCTGGTTTTATAGTGCTAGCCCACTGAGATACCATGCCGCCGTGAAGCATATGATAGCATGTAATGGTGTTGATATATGTTGACAGAGATGGGTTTCAAACACCTCACACACGTGTGTCAACTTGGTGTAACGCCGATGTGAACAGATATACCTTGTGCTGTGATGAATGAGTGAGTATTGTTTTACGCCGCTTTAGCCGTATACGCCTTAGCGGTACCTTCGCTTTGTGGGGCGGAGCCCAAGAACATTGTCAGAGTATGAGTGAGTGGGTATGGTTTGATGCCCTTTTTAGCAATATAAAAGCGGGGTTCACCAGAAATGGGTTGGTTTCAGGCATTGTAGGGAATCGACTGACTGATTGACTGAGTTTGGTTTTTACGCCGCTTTTAGCAATATTCCAGCAACATCACGGCGGGGGACACCAGAAATGGGCTTCACACATTGTGCCCATGTGGGGAATCGAACCCGGGCATTCGGTGTGACGAGCGAACGCTTTAACCACTAGGCTACCCCACTGAGAAGCCGCCATGAGTGTGGAACTCAATGGAACTGCATTTCTGCACCAGTTTTATAACTGCCCAAAACGTATTTAAAAAAATGACGAAAAACAATAAAATGATAACGTACACCTCGTCGTTGGTTTAGCACCGCTTGGAGCGAACGCTCGATAGTTACTTGTAAATTTAGGAGGAACGCCCTAAGTGAAACAAGATTTTTACCGAAGATACGATCACTGCGATAGCGTAATTTGCGAGGACCATCCAAAGCCATACAGGTCTTAAGACGTTCAGCATTTTGGTGAAGCCAACGGACACGGGCATGGTGCTGTTAAACCAAGAAACATTGTGAGGCCCAAACTGGGATTCAAACCCATAATCGTGCAGAAAGAACGAAACGACTTTAGGTTACTTGGCCGCCATGTCCCTTCACTATTGGAGTGGGTGAGTATAGTTTTACACGGCTTGTAGCAATGTGACAGCCATATCACGACGGGCTTCACTGTGGGAACTAACTATATGAGAGGTAGTGGGGTAGCCTAGTGGTTCAAGCGTTCGCTGGTCACGCCGAAGATCCGGCCTTTATTTCCCACATGGGTACAATGTGTGAAGCCCATTTCTGGTGTCCCCTGTCGTGATATTTCTGTAATATTGCTAAAAGCGGCGTAAAACCATACTCACTCACTCAACAACCGCTGGATGTCTTGTTTAGGGTTGATAAAAAAGAAGAAGCAAAAAGTCAAACTATACACATTATTTATGTGAATATCATATACAAAAAGGTGTTTAAATATCAACAATAACAAATATATATGAAGCACTGTAGTATGCAGATGGCATCGAGTAGGACTATTCTCCAATTCATCCAACCATCCAAGTCCCAGCCTCTGACTATTTAGCTCATAACTATACAACGAAACCTCGGAAAACCGGGCAGTTCCTTGTAAAAATCGTCCGGTGTATGAGATGTCCGCATTACAGAGCATAGAGTAGATGGATAAGAACCCATTAGAAACAGTCGTTCAAACAGTAATGGTCCGAATACGTTCTGGCTGATATAGTGGTTTTACTGTATATAACACATAACAGAATCAATGACAATTCTCGATGTTACGGTCACCGACGGTAGTGACCAGTCGGACTGGGCAAAATTCTCGACCTCCATCTTCTACATTCAACTGCACTGTGATCTTCATATATTACTATTGCTGTGGCGGACATCTTAAACTAGGCATGACGTCATGATAACGTGCATTTCCACGAGTCTTTTCGAGATTTGGGAGGATGCAGTGCTGTGTATATAGCCTCATCAAATACACATTTCAAGCCACGCTGTAAAGATAAGGACGTGATCTAGACTCTTGAAGACAGCAAGCATGATTTGAAACTGTGATAGTGCATAAATAATAATTTTATAAAGTATAATCGAATTTTTTTATGATAAACTGTTTTCTACGAAAATTCATTCGACGTATACAACTGATCTGACTAATTTAAGATAAAAGCGTATAGAAATCGTTTTAACACTTATGGGATGTGTTCGCATTAATGTGATGAATTTTATCAGATGCAAGTGGATAATAGCAATAAAAGTATTGTAGAAATTGTCAGGAAACATTTTGTAATTTACATGGGCAAGTGCTTGACCCAAGCATGTTTCTCTGGATATGTAGACAAGTACAAACATATTGTACAAAATCATTAAAGGTCACAGTAAGATTTTCTCTTGCTCTTGAACTTCAAAGCAGGCCCTTTTCGTTCATTAACTCTGCTTGCATGTGCAGGGAGTTAAAAACTTGCGAGTGCAACACAGATGAGAGACTTGTGAACCTTTCTGCTAAAGTTTATACCATTAAAGTATTTAAAAGTTTACAAGCATAATATTTGATGTTACTTGTGGGTCTAAAAGGGCCAATATCCTAACTCTTCCTATTAAAATGTCGACAAGAGTGAAAAATTCAATAGACATTACCAACCTGTGTAAGGGCAGAGCACTCCATATAATTAGTTTTCATTTTCTTTGCGAGTTGTCTCCCTTGACGTGTTGTAATCGGCTTCTCGCTAATACCTTCCGGTATGTCCCCATTGGCTAAGTCGTCTCGGATATCTGTCTTAGTCCCAACAAGGAGGAATGGAGTGTTTGGTGAGTTTTCCAGGATTTCAGGGACCCACTGAAATGTAAATGGTAAACAAATGGGCTAGTACATAGAGAATACTACACTCGGTCTTATTACATACGAATTATACGAAACCAGTGTCCTTCCTTTGGTATCTGACCGAGCGAAAGCGAGTGTAGTATTTTATTTATTACCCACGTCTTGCATGCATTAAATTGACAAAATAGCGTATTTTTGTTAATGTTTTTGGTTTCAAACCGAAACCGGTTTCATAAAGAGGTTGCGGAAGAGTTTTGTACTGTAGTACAATATTTGCCTACTGTAATGACGTCACTGCATTGGTAACCGACGTCACGATGCATGTCAGTTGTCATCGCCTCGCACAGCCTCCTACAGTAAACTACGCCGTTTCTTGGTTTCCAGTTGCTTCATTCGGTTAATATCACTGGTGGAAACATTGCGTTTATGTTTTTCGACGGATATAATGTCTCAGTTCGACTCACAAATAAACAGCGACACGGCAACGTTCGCAATGTTTACATTCCCACAATGCATGTAAGTTGTAGAATAAATGAATTCACGTGTTTGTTATGAATGAAAAAATAGTTACGGCAGAATGTGACCTAATTGAAAGGTCATCGGTTATCCAATCAAATCGTTAGAATCTCAGGTCAAGTCGTTACGACACAGGTCACGCGATACGACACTCGTGTGACGTACGAGATTAGTATGCAACTACCCATACGTTGACCTCGTGGGTAATAAATTGCAGATCAACACTCGACTCTCCCCAGTCGTATATGAACTGGACAAGATTACAACATTTTTTACAAAATAGTGAAGAAAACACATATGATATAGCATCACAAAATATCAAAAATTATCCTTGCTGCTATCAAATTAAAATATTAATTGTTCAAGCTACTTTTGTTTGCTTTTATACTCCATTCAAAGGGAATACCTAATTTCTATTGAGCACGGAATAAAACCTTCAAGAATCATCGTCATGCATTGCTGGGTGTTCAGGAGGTTCAGAACCAAACTCCCCTCTGAAAATTCCTGGATCCGCCTATGTCATGTGGGATCGTTCACTCGCCACTTTCCGTGACCTGTACTCGCTATTCGGTTGGTCACGAAAGCGTCGTGTTATTCAAACATTTGTCGTTCTCGGTTAACATGCGATTCAGTTAATGTCATTAATTACCAGCCGTACTCATGAAATGGCGGAATTGGCCGGGTGGACCCGAGTGCATAAATCACGTTCGGCATTATCCGGGATAAATCGGTTTATTCCGATAAATAAAGTACTGAGATTAGCTGATTGGATAGGGATATCCTTAACACCACACACATGTTGCTAATGGAACAAGAAAAAATGGCACGAAAGGGATAAATAAAGTGGAACTGGTTCATAGTGAAAGCATACTCCTTTAACCTGGTCAAAACGGCACCATAGTTTCATATGATTTGTTCATGTAGTCATTTTGAACGAGAGTAACGAAGTTTGATTTGGTTTGATTTAAATGTACTTTCTGCGTCTGAAAATACACGTTGTGGTGTGTATTCATGAACATAGTGTCGTTTTCATTGCAGTTTTGCTTTGTAAGTATTATACACTGAGGCTAGGCCTTCTCATAAGTCAAGTATTATGCATGATGGAAGTAGTGACGTCACGTCCGCTACGAAACTATGATGGCGAATAGGACGATGTTTTTTTCAGAATGGAATGGTGGAATGACACATACAGTCGAGGAGGATTCGTAACTGACATCATTACCTTTTCTGAGACACTGGAGAAGGATGAAGGGGAGACAACCGAGAAACAGACGAGGTAGATGTCAGCGTTGGGGTAACTGAGGGGTCGAACCCCGTCATATTCCTCTTTACCAGCCGTGTCGAACAGGCCCAGGTTGTAGGCCTCGCCTTGAACTTTGACTGTCACCTTGTAGCTTGCAGAAACCTGTACACGATAAATAATGAGTGAATGTGTTTTTTCGCCGCTTCACGCAGTCCGCAATATGAATGAATGAGTGTTTTTTTACGCCGCGTTTAGCAATATTCCAGCAATATCACGGCGGGGGACACCAGAAATGGGCTTCACACATTGTACCCATGTGGAGAATCGAACCAGTGTCTTTCCACCCTGTGACAAATGATAAAACTGATCTATGTTCGCTCGTTCCCACTGCGTGATTGAATTATCTGGGTTTTAGTTGATTTTAGCAATATGCTAGTAACATAGCATAAAGACGGATGACGATACAAGTTTTTAGCCAAATGGCTTCCCCCAACCCCAACCCCGGAATTCCGGTCATAAAAAATTCTAAAAATATTTTTAAAAATAAAGGCCGAAAATCTTACATCTAAACCTCTTGCGTAACTACAATATAAACTGGCAGCTGACATATTTGCGCACGGATGCCCTGGCAGTAATGATTAGTAGAGACAGAGCCCAGTCAAAGCGGGGGCGGCACGTTTGACGAACGTTGCCTACCGACGCAACTGAGAAGCTTGCCAGTTGGTCGTCCTTCAGAGGAAGGTGAGCGGTTCATGTGTTTACTCGCTAAACAAGCACAGTGGCTGAGGCTGTATACTCACCGTGGGCTGGTAATCCTTCTCAAACGTGTTGGAGCTGTACGAGTGCAACATGCACGTCTTGCCAACCTCTTCGTCCCCAACCACCACACATTTCAGGGCGTGGTCGGAGGGGGACGCGGACTCTGACATTGACGGTGACTGGTTACCTGGAGAATAGTTTTTAGTTATTATAATCTGAGTAGCAAGAGGAACCTTACCTCTCAGTTAATTAATCTTAATTTAATTTTCAGTTGAAAATATTTTGAGGTAACAATGTCTATCGAAACCTTAAAGCATCCTGGCGTGCTCAGTCAGTACTCAAGTATACTTCTACATCGTTATATTTTTATTAAATTCAGAAAAGATACATGTGAAAAACAAAAAGAAAATATATGAAATAAGTATCTTATAAACTGTATTTGAAAATACATAAACTTACATTTTTCCTGACAAATTTACATTCCATATATGGTTTGGGTCACGTGGTTCCAAATTCATTTTTAACCACATTTTCCATTGAACAAAATAATAATTATACAAAATTATCCAACCACAGATATCTTCTTTTCAAATTGTTACAAGAATATGAATGATGGGTAAAGAGACATCATCATGCAATGTTCAGTAATTGAAAAAAACAATCCTGATATACTTTAAGTTGTTCCTCAGTGTTTAATATTTGTGTTACGATGTGCAATCTAAGATATTTATAATTTGCTTCATGGTTTAATTTACACCCCGTGTGAGGAATTCAGCTGTAATGAGCGGGCCCCCAAACACCTAGGCGAGAATTTGTTATTCACATGAGAGTTCCGCAGGTGGATATTCCGCGTCAGAAAGGCTCTCCTGCCACCCATGTTTGTCTTAAGACGCGACTGCCTGGATCGGGCTGTCAGGGTCGGTGAGACCCGTGAAGATCCGGGTTAGACTTGATCTTCAGTAACCCATGCTTGTCGTAAGAGGCGACTAAATGGATCGGGTGGTCAGGCTCGCTGACTTGGTTGACGCATGTCATCGTATCCCAATTGCGTAGATCGATGCTCATGCTGTTGATCACTGGATTGTCTTGTCCAAACTCGATTATTTACAGACCGCTGTCATTAAGCTGGAATATTGCTTCAATGCTTCATTAGTTACGGACCCATAAACTAACCCACAACCAAAACGGCTATCCTGTTATGCTCACTCGCCACGCCCATGTTAAGCTGTCAGGTTAAGGGCGCCACAGATAAAAGGTTTTTATGGGGTAGATAAATAGTTTATTTGTATAATATCAGTGCCGCCGGGGCACATTGAACATATTTCACCCGTGCCATTTCAATATTTAACGTGCCATGGCCTGCAAATTCAGCACTTTTTCGATCCCTGCACGTGCATGGACATCGCTATAGAAGTGTATGCAGTAACCTTCGACGTGACGTTAAACGTCGTTTCATCCAACTTCAGCTGTCCAATGAACTTAGAGGATGCTAAACGTTAGCCTATAAACGCCACTGTTATTCTGTTGCGATATGATAGTTATACAGTGTACATGTTATACATACTCACAATGATGCATGTTATAATTTATCATTCGTAACTCATTAAAATAGAATCACAACAGATGTGGCGTTAAACGTCGTTTCATCCAACTGCAGCACTCCAATAGCTGTCTGTTATTTTGACCTGTTGACGTGAGCCTTTGCTGAGGCTATTAACCACTTGTTTGCAATCGGGTTCTACAACCCAGCTTACTGCTTCGCCTGGTGTAAGACCATGTTAACCCGAGGTGTGTATTTGAATACATGCTCTCTTAATTTGGCTGGAATATTTCTGACTGCGGATTTACAAAATTCTTCTTTCTTTTGTAGATACAGAAATACTTATGTCATTTATCATATTTAATAGTCATGTAGCAGTGAATATTGACAATTTAAACTGGGGAAAAGTAACGAAAGTATGCATTTGTAAATTGGATTTGAAAACACATACCCAAATTATAAGTGTTAAGTTACACTACAAACTCTGCGTCACAACACATCAATGATATCTGTATCAAATCCATCACCATCGACTAACTGTTTCGTGTTTGTCCCATTTTCAGCAACCATTAAACATGGTGATATGCTTTCATTTCCTCTGCAGATAATATATTTTCAATATATACTCCGCCTAGTCCAACCAAGCATCGCACAGCTTGAACATGTTGGTACGATTGTCATTATCAGTGGAAATAAATGCGAATACTTCCTAGGTGAATACCTGGGTAGCTGAAGGTTTTATTTGTTTGTGTTGTTGTTTAATTTTCCAGCTGTATGATAGTTGTCTCTAAATAATGGAGCCTGGGCCAGACAGTCCAGTGACTGACATAATGTGCACTGATCTACGCAATAAGGACACGATGACATATCATGACATGCATCTCAATGTCAGACAGCCTGACCACCCAATCCCTTTAGTCGCCTCTTACAAGAGGTGAGGTGAGGTGAAATTTGGTTTAACGTCGCGCTGGAGAATATTTCGCTCATATGACGACGTGCATGCGTGTGTATGTGTATGTGGGGCTGCTTGTACTAGCCCAGACTTAAGCTGGTTTTATAGTGCTAGCTCACTGAGATACCATGCCGCAGTAAAGCATGAATACCCCACTCAGACACATTATACTGACCCCGAGCCGACACTCCTTGTTGAACCCATTAATGCCGAGCGCCAGGCAGGGACCAACAAGTACCATATTTTAACGTCTTTTGGTATGACGCGGTCGGGATCGAACCTGCGACCTTCCGCTCTCCGGGCGGACGCTCTAACCACTACACCACGGAGGCGGTCGCCTCTTACAAGAAGCATGGGTGGCTGGAGACCAGTTCTAACCCAGACCGTCACGGGTCTGTCTGAATATGTTGGTACCATTGTGAGTGATGACATTTTGGAAAGATTAACTTAATCTGTAACCAGACTGACTATACAATGTACAGGTGGTCAGTGTAGACGCAATGCACACAGCCATTAAACAACATAACCTCGATAATCCGAACTTATCGTAATTTTCTGGATAAACGAGTTTCAACATTAATGACGAGTAAAATATACACCTTTCCTCTCGTCTGCCAAATAAGGTATCTGGATACAGAGTGACGATAATATTCAGTCTGTTTGAACGAATCTCTCCTGCACTGGAACATGTGTTCATACATTTCATGACTTATCACAATCTATTTCAGCTCGTGTATGTTCCCCCGACTTCGAACCATTTCAACGTCACACAAAGCTTAAACAATTAGATTTGTAGCTATTTTACTGCAGGAACAAAATAGCAGGGACTGAATTAGGACCTTTTCCAAGTGGCGTACACTCCCCTGCCGACGATACTGTAGCTTTAAAACGGTTTGGGTGACGTAAATATTTGCTTTGATTTTGAAACCCAGGTGTCTCGTGGTAAAAGCTTTACATTCACGGTCTGAGCGAGCAACGCGGGGTACGAGAAGATAAATAGCAATAAGCTACAGTGTCTGTGCCTAGTCATATGCCACGGGCGTCTCATTCACTGGACGCCCATATCGGTCTTTCATTTGCTGTCATACACATTTACAACCATACCATGCTGAGAAATAACGGCGACCTGGTGTATAACAAAAGTACCATTATCATACAACTTTCAATACTTCCTCGTGTACTTTTTATTCCGTTGCGATATGATAGTTATACAATGTACGTGTTATACATATTCACAATGATACATGATATAAATTATCATTAAGTCATTAAAATAAAGCATAGTTTCAAGGATGCGATTTAAACAAAATATAACAATATTTGTGCTTCCATTTATCAGTTATAGGAAAAACAACAAAAACATAAGATCAAACAGTCTTGATTTGTGTTGTTTTTACACCTGAAATTGTATTTGCACCTTTAATTATATACCCGTGCAGTATGTGTCTCTTTAAGACTGTAATGTTCACATGATATGGTAGCGGGTGTGTCAGAGATATATTATGCAGGTGTTGGCTGTCAATATTACTGTACACCACATATGAATTTTGTCAACAATACACGAGTTGTGATGTCTCATTCATCTTACCTTGATGTATGTACGGGGTCAGTCAACACCGCCATTGCTAATATATATGTCCGTGGAGACACTCCTGGCGTAACACACCTCTCCAAGCTGTCAACGTTGAAAGGAGCTATATTTAGACGGTGAAGCAGCCAGGGGACACAACTCGTGTCCCACAGGGACACTGCTTAACACACGATCTTCTCAATCGGAGGGTTTGTCGGATGAAACAAGATTATATGTAACTTGTCACGAGATGAAATAAACGTGTTTGTGAAAGAAGACTGTTCAAACATTACTCGACAAGAGTACTCTTAAATAAGTAAAAAATACAACATTTATATGTACCTTGCTAGTGTCCAAATGCCTTTCGATCAGGAAGGGATTTGTTATGAAATGGATGGAAAAGAATTACCCCCAAAATTAATGCTAAAAAATAATTATATCAAAAAGAAACAAAAACGTAACGGGTATTTTAGTACACACTACTAGACAATGTTGGTTCTATAAATAGCTTGCCGGAATGTTTGCCGGAAGAATCCGATCAGGATATTGGTTTATTTCAATAGAACGTAATTTTCTCTTTGAGAAGTAACAGTTGCACGACTGCATATGTCTGGATTATATTTAGACGAGGACAAAACATACACTTACAAAGGAAAATACGTTACAATGTTGAATATCATCCTGCTTGTTAAGCATCAATGATTGCGTTACATTTAATCTACCGTAAATACTTGAATGGATGAACGGGATGTTTAATGTTTTAGAGATGCCTTACACCCGGAATTATTACGTACAAATGCACACAGATGCTGTAGATTGAACTTTCGACAAGGTCAAGGTCAGATGTTTTCAGCTACACTTTTACTCAGTGTATGTAATGATAAAAGACAAAGGAAACTTTTATACGAACCTATTTCTATCAGTCAAATCTCGATGAGTCGAATGCCGGTGTCTCGAATATTATGCATAACTCGAAGTACCTGTTGGTCCCGATCATTCCCTGTTATAGTTGTTATCATTTGAATACCGGTTACACGAATTCGTCTCATAAATACACACGATAACTCGAGAAGGAAATTTGGTCCCATGAGATTCAAACAACAGCAATCTTGTATACATAAGCCGAAGTCGTAGCTAACTGATCCAATTAACAAACCAGCGCGGCTACACCTTTCCGCCATTGACGGGTGAGTTCAAACGGCAGATTAGCGATTTTACGGAAATCACTGTCTGTGCTAATCAGACTGGAACTGATAAGGTGCCCCTATTAGTGATATGGAAATCATTAGATAAACAAATGCTTAGGCAGATGAATTAGGACTGGATCATCTTTTTCTACCCTCATAGACATACCTATGTCTCGAATACATCGATAAGTCGAATTTATTACTTGGTCCCCAGCGATTCGACTCATCGGGATTTGACTGTATTTTCGAACGGTGGATGAATCGGGTTTTTTTTCTCAGTTTTATATATACGCATTTAAGCTAACTTGTTTGAGTGGCATTTAGAAGTTGGTGTGATGAACAACGAGGAGAGCTCTATGGATATAAAACTTCTTTAACATAATATGAGCGACTTTTCGGTGTAGCTACTAACACCGTTATCAAGCAAATGGTCGGTGTAGCTACTAACACCGTTATCAAGCAAATGGTCATATTCGCTCATATTATATTAAAGAAGTTGTATATCCATAGAACTTCCCTCGTTGTGCATTTAAAGGTCACATGCAACGTAAAACACAACTTTGCAGATTCTGATACCTTTCGGTATGGACGTACCGAAACAAATCATCAAAAATGCAAATTCAAGTTATAAAGTTGAAAAATAACGCGATGAAAAAAACCGCGCGAAATCGGAGTTCAAACGATTCACTAATTTTCCCCCGAAATTTCGGGGGAAAACGGGTTTCAACAGCTGGGCTGCGCTCATAGCATGTGAAATAGGTTCGCGCAACTTGGAAGCGGGCTGTCTGGTGAATACTCGGTGAAGGCTTTGGTGTGAGCTATTTTCATAATGTTTTGCTGATATCTCACAGGCGCGAGCTTTTTATATGTTATGACAGTAAATAAACTGTTTATATAATTTCATTTGTCTATTTCACCACACGTTCTTCTTACCGAGTCACTTTCTCAGTTCGATACTTCAAAGCAATGTCATTATTTAGCGTTGACACAATTTCTAACTGTGATATAGATATGTCGTTGTCACAGACAAAACTCAATGTCTTGTTTTATTGACACCTGTGTGTCTGCCTGTCTGCGAATGACAATATTCAACACACAACTGCGATCACTGACCACATGCAATTTGAACTTAACACCAATCAGGCTATACACCATAAACAAAACGCATTGATTTATGGCCCGAGTTCGGTCTCTGTCACATTATGTAATTACACAGACAGGCAGGTGTGATACTTGAACACATGACATGTTATGATGTCTGTTGATTGCAAAATGTTATACACAAAATATGAGCTTGTATTTAAAAAACCCAACATCTCTATATATACACACACAATGAGCCGAGAAGGCGGCATCTGCAAATGAACCAGCCGTTACACTTGAGTGCACACCGACCCGCTCTGACTGGGTTCGGTATCCCGGCTGCTTCGTTTCGAGGGAAAAATATTGCACTTTTGATTTGCGATTATACGCTTATAATTTTGTTTATTTGTTTTTTCATAATCAGCAATGCATATTATATGTCATGAAGAAGTGATAATTGTGTTTTAATTATGTTTGATTTTTTGGTTGCATGTGACCTTTAAGCAACTCGATTCATATACGCATGAGTATATTTACAACTGGTCAAACCCGTGACGATCTTGGCTAGAAGTGGTCTTCAGGAACTTGCCATGCTTGTCGTAAGAGGCGATCGATGCTCATGGTGTTGATCACTGGATTGTCTGGTCCAAACTCGATTATTTACAGACCTCCGTCATGTAGCTGGAATATTGCTGAATACGGCGTTAAACAAAGAATACAAATTCGACGTGTCAAAAACATGAACATGAACATGCGTGTAGAATTCCATCCCAACATTCTGCGACCTACACGTATGCCTATTACTGCTGTAGAATATGACTTTAACATACTGTAGCCGTGGGTTGTACCCGTGTTCCTACTTACTGGGGGAGTATGTGCCTTGTCCCAGTACGTATATGTATGTTTAAGGACTTCACCTAGTGAATTCTTACCAGTTTCTTATAAATCAGCCACAAACGCATACGCTTGGAATATTCGCGAACACTAATATCGCTGACAACTGGTCAGTGTCATGAAGACCATCACTAGTAGCAGACCATCTCTCGTGTCACTGAGACCATCACGGCCACGAAGAAGACCACCACCAGTATCAGGAACACCGTCAGTAGTATCATTGTAAACAAACAGTATCGCAAGTGCCATCATCTGTTCACAAAGACAAGCAATAGGGCCTGTAAGTCTCGCGAGGCGCTATTTCCGGTACTAAGTTGGTTCCCTGATCCCTTTGCGCGACACATTGTGATATGCGAGACCGGGCCAGGCTTACTTCCGGTACCAGATTTCCGGTGACAAGCGCATATTCAAGGACCAGTTCTGGTTCCAAATTGCGCGACCGCCAAATACGACTTCACTAGACCGGACCAAGTGTACAACCATGCTTGACTGTCACAGCTGTTGCAACTGACAGTCCTAATAGTTGGCTAATTTGGAGATGGTTAGATCGGACATTTGTTATTCCTGCAAGGATTATCGGTTCCTTACTGTCAACTGACAAACAATAGGCAATTCGAAAATGAATAAATGAATGAATGAATGAATGAATGAATGAATGAATGAATGAATGAATGAATGAATGAATGAATGAATGAATGAATGAATGAATGAATGAATGAATGAAACGTTGTTTGTTAGTGGATGTGCTAAACAACAACGTAAGATCTCACGAAATGCTGTGACCTACATACGGGCACTATTGGAGACTACGACACACTTCCTACGCCGCTGGAGTAGCCTTGTTGTTCTCCCGGGTTCGATTCCCTTCATGGGTACGAACCATCAAATATTTAAAAAATGAAAACTAAAAAGAAACCTGGGTATGTACTCTTATAACTCTAGGGGCGGTGGGGTAGCCTAGTGGTTAAAGCGTTGGCTCGTCACGCCGAAGACCCGGGTTCGATTCCCCACATGGGCACAATGTGTGAAGCCCATTTCTTGTGTCCCCCGCCGTGATATTGCTGGAATATTGCTAACAGCGACGTAAAACTAAACTCAGTCAGTCAGTCTTATAAAGCTAGGGGGCACACCTATGAGCTTTTTGTGTAAATTGCGAAGATGGCGTAACTGTATTATGACGTAGAGGAGATTTGTTCCCTTATTTGAAACAGACAGGTAGTGCTTGAGTGAAAACGTAATGTTTTACAGATTGATTGGTGAAATTTTATTTCTTGACGCTTTTGTTCAAATATAAATGTAGAATAACAAATATACCTTTATATAATTTAATGTTGCATATTTCAAAATGGCACCGTATGTCTTATATGGATCAGTCGTTTAAGCTGCCGTGGAGGTGCAGAGTTGCGTCCCTTTGGTACGCCAGAAACCTCTGATCCACATTTTGGCACAGTGATGCAGCCAGTGATGACAGGACTGACGTGAGGCAAGGGTACTCGTATGGAGCTCCCTTCTACCCAGTGTACGGAACTTTGCCCACAGGAACCTTGCCCAAAACAATTTTTACAGGGGAGGAACTTTGCCCACAATAATAACGTAACATGATATAATCACGCCTGTGCCACACTGTCATTGCTCTTGCAAGTATGGAGAATATGATACGATTAACAGTCTTCTACATCGGCCTCTTCAGATCACGTGCGTGTTGCACGGATCTATAGCGGTAAATTGGTCGTATGGCTGAACGTAACTCTGTTAATTATAGATTTCTGGCAAAGATAGAGTTTTAGAAATGGTCGGGGGAAAATGCGGTTGTAGATTCCAGCAATCCAGCAGAGCCACTTTATTGACAGTCGGAACATAGTAACCTTAATATTGTCATATTCACACCTGAACGGAGAGCTGGGGTGGCCTACTCGTGAAAGCGTTCGCTCGTCACGCCGAAGACTCGGGTTCGATTTCCCACGTGGGTACAGTGTGTGA